GAACACCTTTTGTATAGAACACCTTTCTGCGTAGGCGGCCTTCGGCCGCACTTAGGGATTATAACCCTCAGCGAAAGGAGCCACAGGGACAGTAAATACATATTTTCCATGGAAAGGTTTATATTTTTAATGCTGACTGGGTTATATCATATTTTCTTTTGTCTCTCATCCTTCTTGTATATTTAGCAGTTTGACAGCTAAACGCCACCATTTAATGTGCATATGCAACCAAAGGCAAACGCGTGGTTTTGAAGATGTTTTTATTTAATAAATTGTGATTGATAGATTAAAATTAAAGTAATAAAGAAAGTTGTAACAAGTCGAATAAAGTTTAAAGTGAAGGGGAATATAAAAATGCATTAGTGAAGTGGCTGCTTTAAGGAAAATAGGAGTGATAAATGTGAGCTATTTTCCGAATTTTACAAAAAAGGGCATATTTCAAACCCAATTTGTAAATAAATTAGTGACCAAAAATTACAATAGTGGATGTTAAAGTAATGGGTAGACCCTTGGCTACAAGTGTGTGCAATTTTTTTTTGGATCGGGTCACCCCTTTGGACGCAATACCCCGAAATAGGTGGGCCACTTACTAAACCGTACCCAAAGTAATTATTAAAATTAATTAATTATTAAAAAGTAAAATGTATGACACAATTTTCCAATTTTCGATCCTAAATATCTAATGTAGTCGCCTGTATACACACTTTGGAGCAACTGTAGTTGTTAGTTGAAAGTTGCCAGTTGCCATCTGTAATATCGTTTTGGTAACTAGCAACGCAACTGAAGTTTGATTGCTATCGATAATCGACCCATAAAGCGCAGTTACCCACGGACGTAAAAACGGAGAACGTGTCAACTGACGCGATCAATAGGTGCGTTCGACAAGTCAAAAATTTGTAATAGTTTTCAAATTTTTACTGGATGGCGTTCGATAACGACAAAAAAATATCCAACACACAAAAATTAAGAGAGCAAACGTTCATTTTGTACTGGCAAAATTTTAGTCAGCAAATAGTTGCGTTCGATAACAAAATTAGCCAACACCAGCCAACAATCAAAATCAAGAGAGTAAGCGAAAATTTTCTCCCAAAGAGAGGAAAAAGCAAAAAAGTAAACGAAAAGGAAATTAGCCATTACTTGCAAAAACCGGAAGAAGAATACACACCAGCTGACTTTGTTTATGTTTTATTTGTAAACAAACTGAAATTCATGTTTCCTCCATAGAAGAAAAAAGGAAAGTGTTCGCCAGGAACATTTCTAGAAGTAAAAACTAGTTGGCGCTATCATAAAGTCACATAGCAGGCAGCCAAAAAGCATATAAATACCAAAACTCGGAAAATGCAATTTTGTTTGTTTACAAAAATTGCAACCATATGTTTTGTGATCATATGTTTTCGTGTTGGATAATTTTTTAGTCTGTTCCAATAGCAGTCCGGTTTACAGGATTTAGTCAGAACTTACAGGAAGTCGTTCCTATTGACATAAAACCTGTAAGTGGGAACACATTTGAGAGAGTACTGAGCAACTGTTCCTAGTCAGAAGTTACAGGATTTAGTCCGGAGTTTCTTTCCTGTAAGTTCATGAAAAGTGTCAAACGATCAGCTGATTTGCATGTGCAAACAAAAACAGAAAGCGGTGAAAGCAAATAACCTTATATTTGCTAAAAAAAATGGAAGTAAACAACGAAATATTTGAATATGTATAGATTTTAATAATTATTTAGTGATATTTCAGCCAAATCAGTGTAGTAGCAATGACATGTAAACAAACCGTCTGACGTTTTTACAGGAAATAGTGCTTTTTGCGTTCCTATGGACTTCTGCATCTGTTCTCCTTTTACTCTCATTTGAGAGCGTAAAATTGTAGTTTGACAGTTCCACAGGTTTTAGTCCGAAGTTCAAAGGAACAGACTATTTGCTGACTAAAATTTTGCCAGTACAAAACGAACGTTTCTCTTGCATCAAAATGAACGCTTGCTCTCTCAATTTTTGTGTGTTGGATAATTTTTTGTCGTTATCGAACGCCATGCAGTAAAAATTTGGAAAAACTATTACAAATTTTTGACTTGTCGAACGCACCTAATATTATCCAACACGAAAACATATGATCACAAAACATATGGTTGCAATTTTTGTAAACAAACCAAATTACATTTTTCGAGTTTTGGTATTTACATGCTTTTTGGCTGCCTGCTATATGATTTCATGATAGGGCCAACTAGTTTTTACTTCTAGAAATGTTCCTGGCGAACACTGAACGTTCACTTTCCTTTTTTCTTCCATGGAGGCAACGTGAATTTCAGTTTGTTTACAAATAAAACATAAACAAAGTCAGCTCGTGTGTCTTCTTCTTCCGGTTTTTGCAAGTGATGACTAATTTCCTGTTCGTTTACTGTTTTGCTTTTTCTTCTCTTTGGGAGAGAATTTTCGCTTACTCTTATTGATTTTGATTGTTGGCTGGTGTTGGCTAATTTTGTTATCGAACGCAACTAATCTTATGGGATCTGCGTGTTAACAAAAACTCGCCACCGCATGACCGTGACGTAGACGTTGCTTCTCTTTTTATCAACAGCAAACTTAAAGCGCAAACAGTCAACGACGTAGCGTAAACGTAGGTTGACGCAGACACGACCTAGCTTATGAGATTCGGGTGTTAACGCAAACTCACCACCGCATGGCGGTGACGTTGCCGTTGCTTCTCTCTCTCTCTATCAACAGTAAATTTTTTATGCTGCTACGTACGTCAACCTACGTTTAAAGCTCAAACAGTCAACGACGTAACGTAGACGTAGGTTGACGCAGACACGATCTACCTTATGAGATTCGCGTGTTAACGAAAACTCACCACCGCATGGCGGTGACGTTGCCGTTGCTTCTCTCTCTCTCTATCAACAGTAAATTTGATATGCTGCTACGTACGTCATCCTAAGTTCACGCTACGTCCTTGACTAACTGCGCTTTTATTACCTTTCTACGTACTTCTACGCTACGCCACGTACACGTCCGTGGGTAACCGCGTTCTTACCAGTGCTCGAATCGTAACATCCGTTCACGAATCGAAAACGATACGAAAGAAAATTACATGATGCATGCGTCAGGCAGTATAAGCTGGGCTCGAATCGTAACATCCCTTCACGGATCGAAAACGATACGAAAGAAAATTACGTGATACGTCAGGCTGTATAAGCTGAATGGTACAAAGAATACGTTCACGTATATCATAATCCGAAAAATGTGTTCGATCCTAGTATCGTATTGTTTGCGGTAGCCACTATAGCTGCTGTAATGGCGTTATATATATTAACAAATAGTTAGGAATATAACTAGAGTCCGACCGATTAATCGGCATCGGCTAGTATCGGCACAAAATTTAGCATCGGCACTTGATCGGCACAAAATGTAGCATCGGCATTGGTCTTTTTTCACCGATTCTTTGCGGATTATTTGGAATTTCTTTCCATATGTTAAGGTGAAGCGACAGACAACGGCCAACATAAAAAAGCATTTGCAGACAGCTCTTAAAGAGGATTTTTTTTTTGGTTGAAGGTCATGATTCAGTTATTAAGGCTGCGTTTCTTTATACATTCCGGATAATCCCATTTCACAGCCGGAATAAACAGAATGCGTTTGAAATATACGTCAACATGTCATCAGGAACGTTCTAAAGAATAAATAAACAAAAAAGTTTATTCCAAACCATGATACAAATATTAGTTGCGTTCGACAAGTCAAAAATGTGTAATAAGGTGCGTTCGACAAGTCAAAAATTTGTAATAGTTTGTCCAAATTTTTACTGGATGGCGTTCGATAACGACAAAAAATTATCCAACACACAAAAATTGAGAGAGCAAGCGTTCATTTTGATGCAAGAGAAGCGTTCATTTTGTACTGGCAAA